AATTTTGTTTTTAATGATCTTTATAATAGATTAGATACTAAAGAGGGTGAAAATATATCTATAAACTAGCCAAACAAAGAGAAAATAAAAGTAAAGATCTAACTCAAGTAAAGTGTATTAAAGATGAAAATCAAAAAGTACTTTTCTTATAAAAAGATATTCAACATAGGTGGGTGAGTTATTTTGATAAACTTTTTAATGAAATTTTTGAAAATACGATCGACTTTAGTGATCTTAATATCGTGAATAATAATAAAACGTTTTAGTTTTACCGTTGCATTAGTAAAAAAGAAGTTGAAGAGGCTTTAAAGAAAACAAAGGGTGGAAAGTCTGTAGGGCCTGATGATATCCCAATTGAATTTTGGAAATATTTAGGAGATTTGGGAGTTTCATGGCTTACTAAAGTCTTTAATATTATTTTAAAAACTAAAAAGATGCCTGAGGAGTGGAGGAAGAGTATTTTGGTCCTTATTTTTAAGAATAAAGTGTATGCACAAGAGTGTGCAAATTATAAAGGAATTAACTTGATGTGTCATACTTTAAAGTTATGGGAGAAGGTAATTGAACATAAGCTAAGACGCATTACAAAGATTTCTCATAATCAATTTGGATTTATGTCGGACAAGTCTACTATGGAAGCTATATATTTATTGATAGGTTTGATTGAGAAGTTCAGAAATAGTAAGGAAAATCTACATTTGATTTTTATTGATTTAGAAAATGCTTACGATAAGGTTCCAAGAGATATCCTTTAGAGAGTTCTTGAGAAGAAAGTTGTTGATATGACTTATATTCAAGTCATTAAAGATATGTACAGAGATAATAAGGAGAATGTACATTTGATTTTTATTGATTTAGAAAAAGCTTACGATACGGTTCCAAGAGATATACTTTGGAGATAATAAGAAGAATCTACATTTGACTTTTATTGATTTAGAAAAAGCTTACGATACGGTTCCAAGAGATATACTTTGGAGATAATAAGAAGAATCTACATTTGACTTTTATTGATTTAGAAAAAGCTTACGATAAGGTTCCAAGAGATATCCTTTGGAGAGTTCTTGAGAAGAAAGGTGTTGATATGACTTATATTCAAGTCATTAAAGATATGTATACCAAAGTTGTTACTTTTGTTCAAACGGAAGGAGGATTGACCAAATATTTTCCTATTCTTGTTAGATTACATCAGGGATCGACTTTAAGCCCATATCTTTTTTCTTTAGTTATGGATGGTCTTGCTGGACATCTACAGGAGGATGTACCTCGGTGTATGTTTTTTGCTGATGATATCTTTCTCATGGATAAAACGAGAGAAAAAGCCTAGGAAAAACTTGATTTATGGTGGTCTACATTGGAGTTTAAAGGTCTTCATTTAAGTAGAACTAAAACTGTATACATTGAATGGAATTTTATTAGTAGTAGTAGCTCTAGTGACAGAAGTGTGACTATGGGTGATCAAATTATTAAAAGTTGTGAACGATTTAGATAACTTGGGTCTGTTGTTCAAAGTGATGGTGAGATGTTAATAGTAGAATTCAAGTTGGTTGGTTGAAGTAGAGGAATGCTTCGGGCCTTTTGTGTGATAGAAAAGTACGGCTTAGACTGAAAGGAAAATTTTATAAGACGGTGGCGAGACCTGCAATGCTCTATGGCGCTGAATGTTGGCCTTTAAAAGAGAAGCATAATAATAAGTTAAGTGTTGTCGAGATGAGAATGATTAGGTGGATGAGTGGCTTTACCCTTAGAGACAAAATGCGAAATGATTATATCTGTGATAGTGTTGGTGTAGCTCTTGTGATGGACAAAATTATAGAAAATCGTCTTAGATGGTTTGGTCACATTAAACGTCCACCATCTGATGATCCGATTAGGAGAGTAGATGTTTTAAATTCGACTTGTGTTAAGAAAGGCAGAGGTAGACCTAGGAAGACTTTGGCTTATTGTATAAAAAATGATCTTAATTTACAAGAACTAAATGAAAATATGACACTAAATAGGATGCAATGGAGAAAAATGATTCATGTAGCCTACCCCACGTAGTGGGATTAAGGCTTTGTTGTTGTTGATCCTCTGACACTTTCTTATATTTGAAGATTCGCTCAACAGATTGTGACCAACGACAAAAGTTTTCTAGATCCATACCTCTATCAATCTCTCGTAGATCCACTTTGATATTGAAGTCCATGTATCCTCCATATGTGGGGCCTCCTCCGATATTGAATTTTGAAGCGACGGGATCAGTAGTCTTCATCACTGATGTCTTATCTGTGGAGCAGATTCAGTTCCTCGTCCCTTTCTCCCCTCGGACTCTCTAGATCGTGTTCAAGGGTTATCTCTCCCTGGGTTCTAGCATCAATCTCTACGAGCCTCTGTTGAAGTCGATGGTTCTCCCATTGAATCTCATTTCAGTTAGGTTCCGACATATATCTCTGTGGTGGCATGATGAGGGTTTTGGTTTGAAAGTGGTGGTTGATGATATAAAAAAAAAATAAAATTGGTAGAAAAATAAAGCGGATGCTAGGAAAGCCTAGGCTAAAATTGGGATTTGGCTAGCTCTGATACCAATTAATACAAAACCACAATAGGAATGAAAATATTATTGCTGAAAGGCAACGGGTTACTATCAAGACGCAAAGCAAGAATAAAAAAATGCATCAAATGATCAATCTCTCGCTAGGACCCCCGCCAGGGGGGCATCATCTTACTCGGTGCAGGAAAACTCCAAACATGGGTTCAGGAAAGCCAGCCGGCTGAACTAGTTGGCATACGGCATTGGTCCAAGCCCCAACTAGATCGGATGGCCTATAGAGGGGCAACAATGCTGCCAGCCCCCTCTCCCACTTTTCTTTTCTGTGATTTCCTTATGGGAGCTTTTCTTTGCTGTTATTTCCCCCATTGGAGTTAGGGCTTAGTTTTGTTGTGTTTCGGATTTCAGGTTCCTGTGCGAAGTTGTTTTCTCTGTTCTTGGGTTGTATCATCCGAGGTAGTGGTGCTCTGGCTGTATCATTCTCAGATGTGGTGTTGTATCTTTTCCAATCTCCTCGCTTCCTACTCCCCAAACCTTCCGGCCATCGATTTTCCTCTCTAGACCTCCCTGCCGACCTCTCCCAACACCGGCCGCACTTCCCCTGCCCTTTTAACTATTGTCCAGCTTTCCCTCCCACCTACCAGCTACTTGTTCCCCCTCCACCTGTTGTCAGCCTCGCTGCCCAGCCTTCCCGACCACCGACAACCATCCCCGTTGTCGTCTGGTTTGTTTCCCCAGCAGCCCGCACCCTTCTCCCCCATTACTTGTAGCTTCGCCGACCGCCCCATGCTTTCAAACCCCAAACCTGCCACCCACCGGGTCCTCGGAAAGGGGGTAGGGGGGGGTTTGTGGTCCTCGGGAAGGGCAGCAAGCTTGGAGCAGCTTAGCGAGGAGGTAGGATGAGGTTGGCAGCAACCTGGAAGAGTGTGGTAGTTCCCACCCATTGGAATAGCCTGCCGGTTCAGCCCCTTGCTAGACTGACACTCCACCGAACAAGGTTTGGCCGGTTTAGCCAAGCCCCGCGTTAGTGGGGCGTTAGGTTAGGTTAATTGGAATTTTTGTTTGTGGCAAGAGAGACAAAACTCTAAAGATCTTGGGATTATTGGGATTTGATACCAAATGATATAGGTATACGACGTCTAGAAACTATTTAGGAAGGGGATTAAGCGGAAAAATGGTTGTGGAGAAGCAAGAGAATGAATATATGGGCGGTTGGCGAGGCTTGGAAATGCTATGAGGTGTTCAGCAGCTGAAATATGATGTGGAACATCAGGTTTGATGCCGTCAGGTGTTGCCCCGGCTGTAAATAGCGATCAAACAGTGATTCAATGAGATTCAAGCGGCTGGATTGTGAACCGGAAGGGATAATTGGATGGCTGCTCGGCTGAAAATTAGTGACGGATAATGAATCGGCTTGTCGTAGACGGCTAGGGGGTTCTAACACCTTTTTTTAGGCAAGCTACAGACACACTACTTGCAAGAGTAAAAAATACCACACTCGGAGGGCAAAATTGAGAGAGAAACACTCAAATTCATAAACTCTAATAACAATAATAATATTAATTATAGTAAGTTTCCTCAATGTAAATATTTAATTAGAAACTAGAGAAATAGGTAAAACTAAGGAGGAAGAATCTTAGGAAGAAAACTAATTAAAGAAATAATGTAAATAAAATAAAAATGTTTTCGCAGATTCCGCAAACAGCAGACCTCTGTCTAGCTCATAGTTGGTAGTTCTGTACCATGTTACTACAAAATACCGCATAAGAATTTATTGTAGCCATAATTTGAAAACTGTAAAAAATTTTCCTTCCAAAATGCTGCTAGCGGAAATCCCTCCAGCCACTGGAAAACTGCTGAACAGCTTCAGTAAATCAAATCAAAAGATAAGGCTTATGGGCATTGGGGATCATGGTAGCCGAGTTCTCGGACTTAACTATGATCTGCTCTCCACTAAATGTCTCCAAAATTAGGGAATCATCCCCAGTTCCCCGGCTATACCCAAAACAACTCTCCAAAAACTGGTTTTCTAACGCAAGGCATGGAAGTATATCTAGACAAGCCACCCTGTAACAACTAAGTTCCTTAATTACGAAACTACTCCACCTTCTCCCATGTATTAAGAACTAAGTTCATACATAACTTGAGTTTTTCAACAGCAAGTCATAGAATTCAGTTCTGCATAATCATGCTTGTTGTAACTTAAAGATAACGCACTCCAATTTCATCTTATTCTTTATAATCGTTTTCAAGCATATGTATTATTTAGTTGTCTCTGATTTTCTCTTTTTAACCATCATGTGTGAACTTCTTTATGTTACACGGGAATTCTCATTCTATTCGTTTGTTCTTGCTATACTTTAGTCTACTACTCGAAAGAAATAATGTGAAAATATTCATGTTCACCTTTAAATACTATCTTACTTGTCTAGCATTGCAATTTTGTCTTATGCTGTTAGTATTTCTAATATAGGTGGAAAACATGGGGCGCATAAATTATGGACCATACATTTACGACAGGAAGGTGAGTCCGAGAAAGGGACCATTTTTGTTATGACTAAATCTAGTAGAGCTTTCATGTGATTGATCTGTATTTTTTATAAATGTGTCACGAGTAATCATAGTGTCATATGCTAGATAAACATCTTATTTATTGTGTACATTTTTACATGAATTTTTGTTGCTTTCCACCATAATCCTGAAGTTCATTCATATTTCATGCCTTGTTCTTTTTTAACTGACATTTTTTATTATCAATCATAGGAAAAGTACAATATGAGTAATTGCAAAAAATTACAGCCGTGGGACTGGCAGGGAGGCTGGGCTGGCCAGCCTTCTAACGGGGCAGGATCTACCGCCCTTTTCCCCTTACCCTATTTTACTTGTTAAAAATAAATGTGTTACTGTCTAAGGCCGCAATTTTTACTGAGATTTCTGTTTAGATAGTTGTTGGCGTCCCTCTTTTCCTTTGTAGGACTGTATATGATGGTGAAAAGGTGTGTTTCTTTCCTTTTCCTTCTTGTTGCCATCTTACCTAGGCCTCCCATCCTTTCCAATTTCCCTATTGCCACACCCTTATCTATTGGAAGGGAGGTGAGTCCAAAAAAGGGACCATTTTTGTTATGACCAATTCTATTAGAACTTTCATGTGATTGATCTGTATTTTTTATAAATGTGTCACAATTAATCATAGTGTCATATGCTAGAAAAACATCTTATTTATTGTGTACATTTTTACATGAATTTTTGTTGCTTGCCACCATAATCCTGAAGTTCATTCATATTTAAGGCCATGTTCTTTTTTAACTGACATTTTTTTATTATCAATCATAGGAAAAGTACAACATGAACAATTGCAAAAAATTACTGCCGCGGGACTGGCAGGGAGGCTGGACTGGCCAGCCTTCTAATGGGGCAGGATCTACCGCCCTTTTCCCCTCCAATTGCCCTGCTACAATGTTGTCATAATCTGCACTCAACCTGCCTCTCCAATTGACCACCCCTCTACTTGCCTTTTTGCTTGCTTATCCCCCAAACGTACCAGCCACATGTTTCTCCTACCTACTACCTCTTATCGACACCACGTCCATCGCCGTCCACTACCTCAAGCTATGTCCTCTTCACTCCACCTAATGCCCTAACTCGTCCTAGTGAGATCTTTATGTTGTGTTGTGTTTTATTTTTGTTGTGTGGTCATAAATGTAATACATTGTTTGTTTGATTGATAAAATTTGTTTTCTTAATGGATTTTTTGGTTAACTTCGGTATTATTCGATACCTGAGCTAGTCTAATCCTAGTCTCATCCTCAGGTTTCCTAGCATTTGCCTTACTCCTCCAAAAATTTTTTTTTCCTATTCCCAAACCATAGTCAAATTTTGACCTAACCTTAATTTCACTTAGTTGGTTTTCAAAATCAGCAACCCTAGATCAATATTTACGCCCTCTTTCACTTCTCAACTCTAAACTCTGGCCATGTCACCAAAGAGATACATGTCCTAGCCAACTCGAGAAGAGATACATGTCCTAGCCAACTCGAGAAGAGATACAGCAAGAGATCTGTCGACTTCAGTAGAGACTGGCAGACATTGAGGATGAAACCTAGGGGGGCTTATCCTTGATGGTGACCGAGTAAGTCGAAGAGACGAAAGAGACGAGAATTTCAACCCCTTCCATAAGGAGGATTTCAGTGACGAAGCAGAAAGGTTGCGACGCTTCAGTATCAGAGGAGTGCAAGAGAGGAACCCACATATGGAGGACTCGAGGACTTTGGAATAAAGGTTGATATGCCAAAGTTTGATGGAGATATACATCCAGATGATTTTATCAAATGAGTACAATCAATTGAGATGATCTTTGAGTACAAAGAGGTGCCAAAAGATAAAAAGGTGAAGCTTGCAGCTATCAAATTGAGAAAGTGTGTCTCCTTGTGATGGGATAACTTGCAGAGGCAAAGGAAAAGAAGGTAATAATAAGATTACCAAGTGAGAGAAGATGCGGTAGACGATGTAAAGAAAATATCTACCTCCTCACTAGTGTTAGGATATGTTTTTGAGACTCCATCACCTGCATCAGAGAAGCCTATTTATGGAGTTCATGACGCAATTTGACCAGTTTTAGATGAAGTGTGATTTGGTCGAGCCGAAGGAATACACCATATCCCGTTATCTAGGGGCTTAAATTCCACTATTACCAATTTGGTACAGTTGCAGCTTTATTGATCACTTGGAATGTTCGAACCTTAGCATTGAAAGTGAAAAGGCGGTAGAAATAGAGCAAACAATCACCACGAGTCAGACAGTCACCCATAGTTGGAGACACCGACAGGAGCATGCCTTAGGGAGTTGAGAAAATTGGTTCAAAACAATGTTTTAAAAGGGTGTTGGGCGGGGCTTTTTAGCTGTTATGGGGTGGGCATAAGCCCCAAGACATCGGGCGTAAACCTCATAGTATAAAAAAAAATTAAGGAATATAAACATTAAGGAAAAAATAAACTATTTGTGCATAATAAAAAAATAAAAAATAAACAAAACAAGTCTTCTAGGATTATAATCTTTAAAATACTAGCACAAATTCACCCAAAAAAGTAGAAACATACAAAAATAAGTAATCATGTTTGAGCCAAAAGATAAATTCATAATCATTTGATCTCAATCCTTGAAGGTTATTCATGCTTCAAATTCATCATCAAAATCTTCTTCTTCGCCAATAGTTGTGTTCAAATCGCAACTAGGTCCTTCATATTGTCTGTATTTATTATTCACTTCATTGAAGTCATCATCATGTTCAATCTCAAGCGCATTCATAATTTGTTTCTCTTTATCATTATTGCCTATATTATAAACACAAACAAAATGATATTCGTTAATATTTAGGATCTTTTTATATAAGAAATTAAGAATGCATATTTATGTAGAGAACAATTAAATGTAATATGAAACTTGTTTTTTCATTCATCTTCATTTTCTTGTGAGAATGTTTTTAAAATGTTATAATTTGCCTAATATTTTGTGATTCTTCATTCGCATTTGTTGTTGACATATTTATGATTACATCAACATCAAAGACATATTCATCTTCATTCATCTTAGAAAGTTTATGTGGAAGCATTGGATATTATTTCTCAACAATCGCTCATCATCAGAGTCTATATCATTTATTAGTATTGGATTGAAGTCTTGTTTTTTTTATACTTCTCTCCCTTAATTTAGCATTGTATCTTATTAATACCAGAGCATTCAACTTCTTGTGCTCCAACCTGCTCCTCTTTTTAGTATGAATCTAAATAAAAAAAATATTATATTTAATAGGTGATTATAAAAGAAAATAATAATAATTTTAACTTTTAAAAAGTAAAAAATTTATTATCGATTCAAAAGTGCTTCAATTTCTTTCACAACCTGATGAACTGCATATGAGACTAAGAACTCAAATTGTAAAATTCATTAACCTAAGTGTTTTCCCATCAAATCTCATCCTCCAATCAGCAGGAGATCTAGTCATTAATGATTAAATATTTAACATATAACAGCAGCAGAATTAAAATTTTAAAATGCATAGAGGCAACCGACCTAACCTGAAAGAAAGATTCTTTTCAGCAGCCAAGGGGATAAATTTAATTCGGCCTTAGCTAACAAAAGACTTTATGTCAATCAATTCTACCATTATAATTCACAACACAAAAGATTGAAAGTTATTATAGAACATACGGGCTACGACTGTTTCCATAATATAATGGTGTTATTTGGCGACAACCACTCAGTCAGATGGCTCTAGTCATAACTGTTATTTTATGGTGTCATTTGGCTGCAGTACCATGTGGTCAGAGGACTTGGGCTACATCTTTACTAGCGTGCAATTAATTTGATTGTAATTATAGGGATACATTTAATATAACATTAGCTCTTTGTGAACTGAAGTCAATTAGAAATTTTTCATTGTCGACAAACTGTTGTTGGGGGTGAATGAAATTTGATTTCAGCTTTTTAGTGATTGAATTTTAGCTTGAATACTTAGTTGGTTAATATTGACCATTTTGATTAAAATCTTTGATCAACACCGTCATTATCGGGGAATCGAATATTTCAAAGCTTTTATATTTAAAAGGAAGGCTTTTAGATTTGGTAGTTTAAGCTTTTCAAAATATAAGTCATGTCAACTCTTATTCTTATCTGTAGGAGAATCAAATCAGTTGGGTGATTTGGACATATAAATCCTTATTTTAGGATTTGAACATTTATCTTGACATTACTAGATTCGTCAACTCCAGTCTTTGTGAGGAGGAGGATCAGGCTATTGGGTGATTTGGACATGTAAATTCTTATTTCCGTATTTAGACATAGTGGGACTTACGATCTTATTTTATAAACAAGACAACCCGATTAGCTCATGTAGTATTCTCGAACCTCATATTTGAACATTCTATACTTTGGTTAGAGCGCATAAAGGCATTAGAAAATATGTATAATTGATTTACTTGTATGGATAACTCAAGAGTATCTTTAAGTGTTACTCATCTAAGTCTCAGGAGTGGACTTACATTTTAAGATATTTCATTTGATGTATCATTTGACATGGTAGATAAACACAAAATTTTTATAAAATTTGAAATCATTTGGAACTTGAATCTGTTTTCTAGCAGGAGTATTTCGAATCGTGTGGCGGCTGATTTCAAATTTTAAGAAAGTATTTAAATCAAATTTAAACCATCGCATAGGAAGAGAGATCGCACAGAGGGGGCGCTCGAGCGGCTTGGGGAATCCGGCCAGAGGATCGCAGCACAGGGAAAGGTTTTCGGGATCGTGAGGGCTAGGGCGAGATGGTGTGGAGGAATCCGGCGTGGTTGGAGGACGCAACAGTAAGCATCGATCGCGGCAGGGGAGATCGGATCACACAAATGGCTTCATTGCAAGAGATTGATCGTATGATTGTGCAAAAGAGGAACAAGCTAGTGCAGAGCGACGCTGTGCAAGGTAGAGCGTTTGGTTTTGTCGGAGGAAGAAGACTGGTTTTCGGTGGGAAGAGCA